TAGCTTTCTGTTTTCTAATATAAACACAACTGATCTCTTTCAAAATTTCATAAATAGATAATAGTTCATATAATCTTTTCACTTTATTCTTTGTCGAATTTATAAGAATATCAGCTTTTTAACCTTCTTTTACATTTTTTCACTGCTAGTATTCTTAAGTAACTATTTCATACAAATTTTTGGACAAGCTCTATAGGACTACCAGCTTTTGGCTTTTCTTTTTTTTCATTCACTGGTGCTCTACAGGTAAATATACTTCAAGATAATCATTTTACTACAGCATAGATTTATTTAACATATCTTTTTTTGAATTTATATTAGTTTTGGAAATTTCTAAATTTTTTTTTTGGTCTTTTTCTATTTGATATCATGCCACGTTCAACATCCTTTCATTTTAAACCATCTCTAAAATCACGACAAGTAATAGATTTTAAAAAAAAACATCGTTTGCATTTCTATTACAGTTCTGATTTATCTTCTGGATCTTCTTGTTTGTGTTTTTGACATCATCATTCTTGTCATTGCCGTTCTCATTCTTGCACTCAACATTCTTATAATCGATTCCAACATTCTTATTCATGTGACTATCGCTCTCAATCATATTCATATAACCATGATAGTTCAGAAGAAAGGAGTCGTAAACATTTAAAAATAAATACATTAGAAGAAGGTAAACTAATTAATAATTATTTTATTATTTTATATATTTATGATATAAATATCGACTAACAATATTTACTTTATTATTATTTTATTATCTTATATATTAATGATATGAATATTGGCAAACAATATTTACCTTAATATATTAATATTTATTTAATTATTTTTTATTAATGATACGAATATTGGCTAACAAATTTACTTTATTATAGAAAATAAGTCTTTAAAGTTTCAACTTTCCCTTCTCGAAGAAAAATTAAAATGTATTGAAAGAGCACAATCAGACACTTTAAATCTATGATGTTTGCAATCACCTGCAGTGTCTAATCACGATAATAATAATATCGATAATTATAATGATGATGTCGATAATAATGGTGTTAGAAAAAAAAAAATAAGGAAAGAGAATGATCATTTTTACCTGAAAAGAACTGCGATCTGGATCAAAAAAGGTTCAAAGCAAGACAATTAGTCCTAATGGACAAAGAATATAAAAAGGCTTTCAGGATACGATTGCATTCAATTAATATATTAATTAATTAAATAATATTAACAATAGAAATATCAGATTGCATAATTTATTTTATAGAAAGAAGTACTCCATGCAGCTAGGCAATTAGCAAATAAGCATCCTCAGCTGGTGATTAGCAATCAAAAAAACAGGCATGAACAAAAAGAATTTGTTGAGCTTTCTATTTTACCTACTTTGAAAAGGTATATTAATAAAAACCTTGAATATTTAGATGAAGAAGTTATTCACATACTTCAAACAAATCATAAAAGTATATACTCAATAGCAAAGATTAAAGTGGACTTTGTATTAGATAAAGCAAATAAGAAATATGATGAAAAAAATTTACGCATGCAAGATGTATACGGCTATCAGCTTATTATATATTTTGTTATTTTTATATTTATTTATTTATTTTATTATTTTATTTATTTATTTTAGAAAAAAGGTAGAAAAATTGAAGGTTTGTAACAAATGATCCATATAAAAGATCCTATAATCGAGAAATATCGACCAAATGCTTTTAGAAAGAAAGAATAAAAAGATCACCTTACTGAAGTCGTCGTTATGACAGAATACTATTCTGATAAGTTAACTAAGACTGACGTTAAACTTGCAATAAAAGAAAAAACCTACGTTCGAATAATCATATTATTAAAGTATATACTCCTATATAGAGGTCTAAAAGGGTAATTCTGAATTTTAATTTGAATTTTTATCGTAAAATAGCCATATCAGCTTATTCTACAATTATTCTAAAAACTATATAGTATAAAAAATCTTCTATTAGGCTGAAGAGGTGGCTTTAACGAACCAAGCCAATAAAATTATAAAGGAATAACATTATGATAAAAACTGGAAAAAAAATACAAAACCACCTCTTGGTGCATCCTTTTGAACAATTGCTTCAGCTTATAATTATAATAGATATGATAACTATCTTATGCCTAATACTAATAATTCAGAATTTAATACCAATAATTCGAGATTTAATAATAATAATGATAATAGTAATAATGATTCTGAACCTGATATTCTGAGCATACTGATACTGGATCTAATAATAATGAACTTGGGCATACTAACAATACCAGATCTAATAATGATTTAGAATCTGATGCAGATAATTATAACAATTATGACCTAACTAATTTTAGATATAGTCTAGAAATGAATTAGAGTATGTAATTAAGAATGAGTAGAAAATTTATTTAGATATTTATTAACTTTTTATCCTAGATTTAATAATTCTGATACAAATATTCCTGAAACAAATAATCACGAATCAACTAATTCCAAATATTATTCCAGACACAGACTGGGAAATGAATTAAGATACACAATTAAGAACGGGTAGAAATTTTATTTATATATTTCTTAATTTTCTATCCTAAATTCGATAATTCTTATACAAATAATTCAGAAACAAATAATTATAAATCAACTAATTCCAGGCATAATTCTAAGTATAATTCCGGGTGTAATTCTGAGCGTAGACTTAATTCTGATACAAATGATCCAGAAACAAATAATTGCAAATCAACTTCTACGAATAACAATCCTGGTACTAAAACTTCTGTTTATAAGTCCAACCGAATTAAGCAAAAAAAAGAATAAATATCCCAACCAGAAAAGTTGGCTACAGTGAAGAGAAAACATTGAGATATAGACCTTTTAAACATACTATTTTTTAGTTGATGTAATTTTTATACACATTTATTACTTTGATAGTAAATAACGATAAAGAGACAATACCCAGAAACTTACTAGATCTTATAGCACAAATGCGACAAATAAGAGAAAACTTGACATCATTATTTATATTAGTACAGATGAATTTTATTTCGTTTATATTATAACGCACATTAATAATAGCTTTAGCATATAGATTTTAGTGAATAATTCAAAAATGTATATTTGTATAGTATTAGCTATTGACTAGCAATATTTGTATATATGGAAATAAATGATTATTAATTGCTTTCATTATGAAAATATTAATTCTATATATCATATAAATATTATTAAATTATGAATACATAAAAAATCAGCAAAGTTTATATAACTATTAGTAAGTCAATATCCTGTTAATACTTGGTATATACCACTTAGAAATTTAGAATATTGTATAAATATCAGAATATAGTATCAATATTCTAAAGCCGATATTTTTGCCAAAATTTTAAATATATGTCACAAAAAGTGGTCAATACGCACCAAGATGATAGGTCACAGATATACGCCAAATAGCAGTAAGCTATCAGATAGTACTTATCAGACAAATATTATAAGATATATATGATCTTTTTTAGATCTATCGGCTAATCAATAGACTATCAAAATTTTATTGCTGGATCTGTATAAGTTAAATTGTTAAGTATAGTAATATGAATATTAGTAAAGAAGTAAGTAAATAATACTATCTAGTTTATAAAAAAATACCAATCCAAATCTCTAAGGTATGCAACATCACATAAACTGATTTATATGTTGATAATTCTTGTGCTGTTGCAGGAAAAAACACTTTATTTATTATTCCAAACTGATATATTCCATCTGCCTGAATATTCATTACATAAAGGTTAATCTGTAATTCTGCAATACAAAAAAAAAATATCTAATTAATAATCTTTTAGAAATATCTATATGTTTATTCTAAAAAATTACCAATTACTTGACATCCAAATATGACAATTTTTATATAATCTTCAGGCAATAACTCAAGAAAGGCCTTTATTATTCAGTTGATCATATTATGCATTTCAATTATTATTTTTAATTTATCAGTCTAAATTTTCTTTGAACATCTTTCTGAAAATCTATCTGAGACTTTGTATATAAAACCTTCTAAGACAGGTTCTATTAGCAAAGTAATAATCAAATCTGTTCTCTGATCCATTTTTTGAATTGCAATTAATTGTTGCTTATCCTTAAAATTCAAAAAAATAAAATATTAAAATAAAATTTAATAACACATGTTTTAAATTTTAAAGAATTACTAATGTTTTTGAAACTTCTTTTGCTTTTAATCAATACTCATTCTAAAAGTAGGAGCAACAAAGTAAATTATAAGCTCTTCTTCAGTTATCAGAAGTTTAAGATGCTCAAGGTATAATTTTAATATTATTAAATACACATATAATATTAGTATATTTTTTTATACTTCTGAATCCTATATAATAAATCTTATATTATTAATAAAATAAAATAAAGATAATGATTATCACTATTTGCAAAATAATATAACTTTAATCAAATTTTACAGATATACAATCACTTGATTTTTTCCTGATTACACAGTTGTTTTTAAAAATATAGGTTAATTTAAGCATATTGATATAGAAAGTTATACATTATCAAAATATTTTATTTGTATTAAATTTTTAATTAAAAAAATTATACAATTGAACAGCAATCAAGTAATTGTACAATGTAAATTGTGATTTGTATAATTTTTAATCAAAATAAATAGTTTTACAAACAGCAATAAACTGTTACAATTATTATCTCACTATTGTCAAAAAATTTGTTTTGGATTATTCAAGTTTTACTATACTCTACACAATGTTTGATTAAAATTTTTACAAGAGTATTTCATTTTTTGAGAAATTTTTTTTTGTTGACTTGTATTGTCCAGTCAAATTAAGAGCATCTTATATTGTGAACTTCAATAGAAAAGATGATATTTACAAATTTTATAAATAATTCTTATACAAAATTCTTATACAAAAATAATACTTACTGAACTTAAGAATTTTTTTGAATAAAGAATTATGTAGACTGTTAAAAATTTTTAAATGTTTATATTATCTATTATAAAAGTGTCTCAGCTAATGACTACTAAAATTGTAGTTCCAATATAGGATAAATCTACATCATTAATAAAATTTTTAAAATATTCAAAATCTTTTATATAAGTTAATTCATTATAAGAAATATTGTTTATATCTTCATTATAATCATTGTTATTACTTGCAATATAATAGGATATTTTGAATAGCATTGATTTTAGTATTTCAGCTCCTAATAAAACAAAAAATTGTAAAAAAGTCTGAAAGCCTTTTGTTTCTGCGATAATATAAACTGTTTTCTAAAAAAGATAATAATAATTTAGATATTCTTATTTACTACAATATAACTTTGAATGCATATTAATGTACCTTAAACATAGAATTAATGAACATCTTTTCTTTAAGATTCTTTTTAGCATCAAAAATTCTCATGATTGTATAGTAACTATGCTAGACAACGACTATAAAATAGAAAATATAAGCTAAATTCAATTTATATAAGGCTTTTAAAAAGTTTTAAGAATATTTAATTATTTTAATAGATTTTAAATATATAATCTAAAAAACAGATATATTATAATATTAGTTATTAGTAAATAAATAAAAAATTATTATTTAGAATTAATAAGATAGTTGTTGAGATATAAGCTTTTAAAGTTGGCTTTTTTTTATTGTTAAATTTTATTAATAAAATATTTTTATTTATAAAATATTAAAAAAAATTTTTTATATAATAATAAAATTTATATTAAAAAAAATTAATTATAATTATATAAAATAAAATTTATAAATATACAGTAAATTTAAATTATAATTTTTTAAAGCAACTTCTTTTATAAGTTAAAATTATATTAATATTTATTAAATAAAGTAATTTTTGTATCACAAAGTTGCATAAATATAAAAGGTTTCTAATTTTATAATTATTTTAGTTTAAATAATTTTATCTTAAAAAAATATAATTTGTTAAAAATATTCATTATAAAAAAATATTATTATTTATAAAATTTGTAAAAATATTAAATCACAAATATATAGTAATTCTGCAAAAATGCAGTTAAATAACAATTAAATAAAATATTAAATTTTTTAGTTTTAATATTCTTAATTTAAAAATAGAGTTTTTTAAATTTAGCAGATTGTAATATTGCAGGTTAATACGTATATATCATATTTTTAAAAAAAATTAAATTTATTATTAGTTAAGGTTAGTGTTCAAGCTAGTATTAAAATTAGAGTTAGAAGGCATATTTATATGCAAAATTAAGTATTAAAAACTTTTAATTAGAAGCCCAAGACTAGTTTACATAATGAAATTTTGTGATATTTAAAATTTTGACTTTTTTTCTTAAGTTTTTTTAATTTTTTGTTCATTTTTGTTATACAAGATCTTGTAATCTAATTGGTTGATCATATTAACCTGTGATATAGCAACCTGTGATATTTAACATTATACTAAAAATAAATTATAGATTTAAAAAAATATAATTACATTTATTAATGGATAGGATTTCGCATTTTGTACTACCGGTAGTACATTTTTAAAAATTCATAGTAAACTCAAAAATTAATA